GACTGTTTGTTTTGGACGCGTATCTACTGTCGAGGTTTGCACAAATTGTGAATTTCTCTTACCCTAATAGTACCGTTTAGAAACCCAGCTCCGACTTTGTTTTGCCTACCCTGGAGGTTCTGTATTACGCGTCACTCGAAGATACCGTTCGCCAGTTACAGAGTCCTTTGTGACGGTAACGCTGTCCTAGGGCGAGGAAAACAGTGCCACGCATTTGGACGTCGGTCCCGAACTAACCTCGGGACACCTAGTCGCAGTAAGAGAGCCACAGACGGTTTGCGTGAGCCGAATCTAGTTCCTGGGCTCTGATGTAAATCCGAGGGAATGAGATTGGTAGTCAGGCGTGCAGAGACAAGCAACAACCCATCAGCCGGCCTAAACATGGTATAACAATGGACACTGGCACAACCGGTCCTTGTTTAGCGTCAAAGTGTCTGCGTCATCCGCCAGTTCCTTTAAGCTTTCAGTGCCACATCACACCTCCCCCAGCGCGGTACCACGCAAGTGTTACGGAGTACAACACTGTCAAGGCGATAGCAGGCAACCGAGCACTGTTCCATTGATCCTATCGGAGGCATTCCCACGATAAATTCTCATGTGATAGGCGACGTCACCACCTGCATTGAAAGGGTGGACAACGGAGATCACTCAGAAGAACCAGGAAGTGTAGACGAGAGTGCATCGGAAGTGACCAAGCAGTTGATTGGGCCAGATGCATGTTATCCATCTGCGATTGAAATTATCGGACGAACGTATGGCCAAATGTGGGCAGCCAAACGATTAGTGCGAAAAACGCCAGATCCATTTTCTTTTCAGAAATTCGATTCAATCAAACCGCGTCTTGCTGTTCTTTTTTTCCATTCATATCAAGTAGAATCACGTTAAAGAAGTTTGCGACTAGAGGGGCAGAGGTTTATACCCTCGAAGACAATGCGCCTCCGAAAAGAGCGCAATTTTATCCGGTCCCCCAAAGTGTGCGCACTTCAGGGGGGACCGTGGCTTGTTGCGAAAGCGCTGACCTCATCGGTGATCAAAGAAATGAATGCGATCCTCCGCCTACAGAAGTGATGTCGCACAATCGCATAGCAACGCGGCCCGTAGCGCGCCCGATACGTAGGACACATTCAAAGATTTGCTTTCTCGATGTGTTTTGACTTGTTGAACGGTCGTGCAACTCTGTATCGGTCCCTTGGTCTTCCGCTCCACCCAAAGGCACGGTAACTTCGGACAGCCCTTTATGGGAACAGAGGAAGATTAGTACAACTGTATTCATACGGTAATCACAGAATGTTCCACAGGGTCGTGCTAGAATGTCCGTGAGGCGACGAGAAGCGTCGAGTTGAAAATGCTCGATCCAGATTGGTTGGCATTTTGACCAATCAGGGAATACCTTCGTTTGGTCCGTGGCCTGCACGTGACATCCATCCGAATGATGTGGTGTTCGGTTTTTAGGGACGGCCGGTAGAATGACAGTCCAGCTGCATGAGGATAACTGATTATCGATCTGGAGAATGCAGGGTGATGGGCCCAGGGCTATGCAAAGACAGTAATCGGAATGATTTTACGCGTTATCCTGCGTTTTAGGTCTTCAACGGCACACATATCGGTGAGCCCTTTCTAATAATACAGATGAGTCTGCACAGCAACCAAAGTCTTCACGTTTTCTTCCAAATATCCGAGTATAGAAGTGATGAAGCCCGCGAAGGTCGGTTCAGTGAACAGTTCAGGGGCAGTGGATTGACGTAGTTTGAACAAGTGACCGCGCATGACCATAAACAAGCCGCGACCTGAAGCTTTTCATGTGCGACGGAAGAGAAGTTACACCACACAGTTAGCCATCATTTTAGTCTAACAAGGGGGTAGTCTGCGGATCAAGTGCATGTACCAAAGTCGTCAGGCTTTTCATCGGTATACGAGATCACACAATTGTGCATTTTAACTGATCCATTACCACACCAGTTGGCATCGTCCCAGTGCGTTTTCACTCGGTCGTGGCGATGTAGTTCATATAGACCTAACCATCAAGACAGCTCCGATCCTCCAGAATCTCCTTTCGATTCCGACTTTGAGAAAAACAACAAGCAAGGTTAGTCTCACCACTAGAAGCACAATTGAATTGCAAAAAGGCGAAAGGGCTATATGGAAGTATGGATGAGCGGTTACTTCACCTGGACTTGCACGTGTGGGCATGCTTACTCTTTGGAATGCCCGCCCACTGACGGTGAACTCCTACAGCAAACTACACGGGAACTTGTACGTGAGATGCTGTTGATATGTCACAATCTATCCATCGCGTCCAATCACTTCGTTCTGTCGGTGTGGGCTTACCCGATAGTGTTTGTTGAGTGACACAAGCCAGTACTGGTCCTTGAGTAGCAATCTCACATGATGCGCCGTATGAGACCATGAGGGATAACAAGGTGAATTTAATGACCAACCTCAAACCCACTCACAAACTCATCCTATACCGTTCGTTTCAGTTTTTTGTGGACTTGCACTGTCAGCTCGGATGCCTCAAGGTCGAGATAGATCTGAGTGCTGCCGATCGAAAATAAACCGGACTTAGCAAGTCCCTTTCTACCATTGGTCCTGAAAGTGTCCAGTCTAGTGGGGGGGGGGGGGGGGGATTGGCATAGCTCAATCATTCACCACAATAGTGAAGGGAAAAAACGATTGTCTTGGGAGGCAATCTGGTTATGGAAACCAAGCGAACTCCAACCAACGTCACGAACTCACCATGAGCGGTCGAATCTCATCCTCAGATAGAGTGTGGCATAGTTGGTTCGGGCGAGCATACGAGTTGATCAGCTGTTGGTAGAAAGCGAGTGCCCGTTTGGCCAGAGAATTGGCTTTTCGAGCATAGTGCAGGGCCGACTCCGTTTTGGCCTGGCGAACCTGGCAGATGGTGTTGACAGGTGTGAAAGGATCGTGTAGAGGTTTTGATCATCATGACGGAAATATATCGTAACAGGTCTGCCCAAACGTATGAGAATTAAAACTGATGATGGGGGAGGTCCCCACAAAAAGGTGGGGACCTACCAAGAAGGATGAATACACACGCGTACCTAAGTGTTTCCGTTCATATGAGGGAGTGAGTGGTGTTAACACTAGAAATCAACAGTGATTAGGATCAAATCAAGCAAAATTTTTACCAAATGGGAACAGAGTGTTCCAGTAAAGCCATTCCAGTAATCTATGCTAACCTGATCGAATTACTCTGGTCCATTGAGCAAATTAAACAGAACTGCCTTTTACACATTCCGGCAGTAAAAAAAACATTCTGTTATCAATGAGGATTTGAATACTGCTTAATGAGTCCCAAGAAGGGGGAAACCGGGGTTTCCATCGACCTTATGAGTAGTACCGAAGTCATCAAGCCGACGGAAGACCGACTTCGTTGGGGTCCCTTCACCGAAAAAAAACGTTTCATCATGTTCCGACAAAACAGCGATAGTTTCTCAACTTCTTTTTTGGGGGTTCTGAAGGAGTTCAACACAAAACTGAGTCTGAAAGTAACTCGGCTGATTCGATCGAGCCCCGGCCTTGGATTTCTCTATCCAGTCCCTCCAGGCCTTGGTTTTCTCTATCCAGTCCATCCAGGTCACGCGTGCCGCGTGGGTGACCGTGGACTAATCAGTCCCACGCGTGACTGATCCGCGGTTTCCTATTGGCGACCGTAATTTCGGAGGACTCCATTTCTGAAGTTTCAGTTGCTGTCCTAATGGCCCCATAGCTGGAGAAAACCGTTGAACACAAAAAGATGAGGGATACTTTGATGATAGGCCTAGAGGCGCGGTGCAGAGGATAAATCCACACACAGTGGCCAACTTGAACAAACAAAGTCCAGTGAAATCGTTCAGCTGTAACACCCTTCCGGTGCCTAGCTGCCATGTCACCCGAAGGAAGCATGAAGGCTAGCGTACTGCCCAAACCTAGACAGGGGAAGCCGAGAGGCAGGGGTCGGGTTCGAACCACGGACATTCCGGTCGGTAAATTCGCGCTTTAACCACTCGGGCCATCTCACCCAAGAACATGACCTTATCCTTTGAGTTCACGAAGTCATCAAGTTATAGATATTTTTATCCGTTTGTTCCAAGTGGATATCAAGCATACGTTGCGGCGTTTCTCTCCGCTTTTCTATTGTCAATTTCTCACAAATAATGAACCAATCTAGCTGGGACAGAAGTTCACTTATTTCCCCTGAAGTCTTGAAACATCTCCAACAAAAAGAAGCGGGAATCCCATCCTGGAATCGCACCAACAGCACCCGAACGTAGCTAGAAAGGAAAAAGCGTTCAGCCGTAGCACCCTTTCGGTGCCTAGCTGCCATGCCACACGAAGGATGCACGAGGGCTGGGATACTGCCAGGTTGCCCAGGCCTAGACAGGGGAAGTCGAGAGGCAGAGGTCGGGTTCGAACCACGGACCTTCCGGTCAGCAAATTCGCGCTCTAACCACTTGGGCCATCTTGTAGCAATATGCCGAAATATTGGTAACTTGGGTTAGTTTATTGGCCGTTAAGCCTGCAGCAGTTGGTACACTCGCCGAGCTTGGAACGTGCTCACGATGTTTCCTCGAATGGTGACGAGACGTTTATGAGCCAGTTACAAGGCTCGGTTAACAGGTCAACTGCTACCTAATCAATAAGCAACGTTTGCAAAATTACATATCCCACCCTCTAGATTCGTTCACTTGTAACATTTTTGGTGCCTAGCTGCTATGCCACCCGAAGAAGGCACGAGGGCTCGGATAACGCCAGGTTGCCCAAGCCTAGACAGGGGAAGCCGAGATGCAGCGGTCGGGTTCGAACCACGGACCTTCCGGTCAGCAAATTCACGTCACACCGACTGAACCATCTTTCACCTCCTAGATTGGGCCACGATGAGTGAGGGATGGACCGTAATTCGGTACCTGTACCACATCAGCGGGCCGTCGTAGCTTGCGGTGCTGGCTGTACGGCAGTGAAGCATTGGTGTTGAGCACTGATGTCATGCTGTCGTTGATGATGATGATGATGCGGTGCTAACCACCGCGCGGTGCTTGATTACCTCAGTCCAAATCGTGTAGTTAAGGCCCCAATTGTGATCGGGACAAACTCAAACAATGCAGACCTGACACAAACTAATTTGATGCCAAGACGGTCGGTCTGAGCATTAGAAAGAGGGAAATATAAACAGCTCAACTTTGTTTCGGTGCGTAGAGCACGAGCGAATCGTCCGGATGGCAAATGACACATAAAAAGCCGGTAAAAGTGTTAGACTCCACACGGATCCCTCTTCACCGCTCGCACTCAGGTGCTACTACGGCCGAGAAGTCCATCCCACGCAAGATTGGCCAAGAATTTGGGACGCTTGCCGGTCCGGCATCAAGCCGAGATCTGATTGGTCGGAAGTCTGGACCCAACAGCCAATCATGACCCAGTATTGGCCAAATGCCGGTTGCCAACGGCGCATCCAGAACGCGTCAGAATTTCCCGAAAGTTGTTGCTGTCTACGCTATATATATAAAGCGCTGTACAAGTGTTCCTGACTTTGTTTTGAGCGTTAATACTGTGCACCTTTGGTGGTTTTGACGTGAACGCTAGCTTGTGAGGCTCAGACCGAGAACTAAGCTGAGGAAAGTACCGTTACATCAAAAAGTGAATATCCCACTACACCAGGATGAGTTATGCTTACGCCTCAAGAATTGAACATCTCACTACACCAGGATGAGTTATGCTTACGCCTTACCCAAGACTGATTCAATCGATCTGGACAATGCTCAGGTGATACATGTATCTATTACAAAATGGACTTGGTGAGAAAACGATCAGCTTTTGAACTGAAGGGTGCGGGGCACACATGTGATGGCATTCTAACCCGCACGATTTACAACTGTCGACGAACGAAGACGACTCACCTCCTCATAAGCTCGTTGCTTCAAATCCCTCATCGTAGTTAGGGCTTCAGCCAGTTCGAACATCAGCTGTCGACAAAGCATGAGATAGTGTTTTCGGCTCAGAGGACGAAGAATGGTCTCCAGCACATCCACTCGTCGTTTGTGCATGCAACACTGGAACAGGGGAGAAGCAGGAATACAGCACTTAGAGTAAGAAGAAGCCACAAAAAGAACGTCAGAGACATATTCAATATCTTGTGGTTTGCCAGTGTGGCGCATTCAGTATGGACCTTTTGCCTGTTCACACATTCAACCAATCATACCGCACACGCTCAGGTACCTGGTTGCCTTCGTTCAGCTAATCTCACCGGCACGTTGTTGAACAGGTGTCAACTTCGAATCATTCATACTTGCCACGCACGTTGTGCGCAGCCCGGATTTAGTCAGCCCGTACTGAGTAGACGCAACCTATCGTCTAGCTTAAGATAACGAAAGCGGATTTGCTCTACTGTCAACTCACCAGTAGTTAAGCGACGCAACCAGTTCATCCAATGTTGAACGCAAATACACCACAGTTCACGAGATACACTCATCTGCATACCAAGGTGGTTTTGACAAGAGACTGAATCTCTCATTTGCGATGTTTTTAGGCAACTGAATGTGCTGCACCAGGCCACCTCATGTTCCAGTTGGCACGATATTCGAGATATCGCGATACATGTGTGGACGCAATAACTACTTATAAGGTTGCTGAAAGCTCTTCGACATCACAAACGAGTGATTCAACTGGGTTCCCGTCAAAATCAAATTGGAATGCAAATGGGTGCGATTCGCTCATTTCGTGCAATTTGGGTTCAAGAATGCGCCTATGAGCCCCAAGAAGAGCGAAACCGGCCATGGGCTGTCGAAGAGTTCTCAGCAACCTTGTGAGTAGTTTCCTTTATGAAATGAAAATACGGTATCTCGAATATCGTGCTAACTGAAACATGAGGCGGCCTGTGTGTAGCACATTCAGTTGTAGAATACCACAAACGGGAGATTCAGTTGGGTCATTGGTGAAAACCAAATTGATTTGCAAACGAGTGTACTTCTCGAAATCTTACGGTTTGATTAGAAATGAGGAGAGTAGACTTCTGTCTGAGGTACAGGGACTGACTGGCTGTCGTCTTGGCTACTTAAGTCGTAAGCCGATTGCTTATTAGATTGGGTTGGTAGCCCGCAATCGGTGTCTTCTTAATGTATTATTCAAAGAGGCAAGATATTTGGTCCCATTACCATCAAGGCTAGCGAGGTGTGTGACAGCTCATTGGCGCGAACCATACGGTATGTGATTCGAACCCAACCCGGGCATCTCGACTGCTTCTGTCTAGGCTTGGGAGTGACAGTTGTTTCTTTGGGTGGTATGGCTGTTGGGTATCGAAAGGATGTCACAGCTAACCTATTATTATTAGTGTATTATTAGTATTACGGTGGGTGATCGGTATACTTCAGTTCCCAGCTGCGATCGAATCGGCCAGGCTGGCGGACTAGACGGTGTGCAGTGGATGCAACAGTTACACCCGTAGAATGTACCCATGCTGTTTAACCCTACTGAATTTTAAAGCGTCAAATTCTTTTCAGTAGCCATGTAGTCAATAAAAAGAGAGTTGATCATTTGGTCATCTAGAAAATAGAGCAAAGTTCAGAATGTGGGTGGGGAGGGATTGTAGGTAACTCTGAAAAACCTCGTGTCATCCATGGAGACGGGCAAGGAGGGTGTACCGTGAAGCACACAGCCAATTGTAGGGAGTTGTGGCAAACATGCGGAACGTCATATTGTGTTACAAGAGAGAACGTTTATAATGAACTGCTGCGTAGGTGTTCTGAAGAGGTATCAAACAACGACTGACCTGCCTGGCCTCGGACGATTCGAAACCAGACATCAACAGATACGCTTTGCTTCGCTGCTGTCCCAAGGCAACCGCATCTGAACAGTGTTCACTGATGGTGTAGTATTGTTCAGCCTGGTTGAGACAATGTGATATCATACGGAACACGGGTACAGCGCTTTCGTACGTTGTCGGACAGGTAGCCAGCATGTCCACGTAGACCTCTACTGAAGTAGGAGGGGCTGGTGACCGACTGTCTTCCGTGTTGTCGGTGTCTGCCGACAGAGTGGAGGAACCAGCCTCACTCAGATCTGACTCCACAAGTTGTCGAAGGAATGAACGGAGGCTCAGTTGAAACATCGAGCCGAAATCCTTTGCTGCAGAGAAAGACACATGTGGAACATTATCCGGAACGACTGTTCCACAAGGTATAACAATAAGACGATCGATGACAGAAACGCACATGAGGACAAAAAGCCGGACGAAAAACCGGTTCTTAAAAGGCGAGCTTTTGACAAGACTGGTGAATTCAATCTGGAGACTTTGAGTAATCCTAGAATGTGAATAGACTTGCGCATTTATGCTCGTCCTTCTGTCAATGAATAGGCAGTGATCGGCTAATTTGTGGTTGGGACACACCTCATAAACGGGGGGAGTGAGGGATGAAGCCCTGATCAGCCGTTTTGCGCTCGCTGGGAACCATCAGCCTAGCGAAACAAGTACTCAAGGCGTTAAACGGTCATTCTCTTCACGGCTCAGTAAGAAAAAAACATTTATCGCAAGACAGTACGACAAAAGAATGATTTGTTCAGAAGAAGACGGACGGAAGAAGACGGTATAAAAGCAGGAAGTTATTTCAGTTACTTAAATAAAATAAGTAGCTAACAGAAAGACTCCTCGGTGCGGTACGTACCACGGGAGGAGATACAGAATTAACGCTATCACGGCCCGCTGGAGACAAAACAAGCGTGTTTCTTGTTTCCTCACTCTTCAAGAAAATTAAATCAACTCAAAAAGTCAATTATCACGGCCCACAATTTATCCAAGGGTAAGCCCATGACCCCATTTAGTGGGACTGAGCAATGCCGTTCGGGTGGAGCGGAATAGAATTCCGAAGCAGCTTCGATCCGGCCAACTGAATATTAACGGAAACCTGGGGGATAAAAGCGGCAGAGGACTGACGCGTGCAAGGACCGTTGAGCGGAACTAGCATCGACTGTATTAGTGATTGCGCTGTTCTTACTGGACTGATTGGCCATCGGCGGACAAACGGTGATCCGACAGCGAAATGACAAAGTAAGCTTATCAGATCCGGAGTACAACAAGACTAGACTATGCTCTCCGTGACTGTGGTCTTACGGACAAAGATGAATGACGACTAGTATCCATACGTGTGCCCGGCATGAACCTTATGAGGTGATAAATTGAATAAACAAATGAGAGATAAAAATGACTGGCAGAGCGGGAAGGTGAGCCGAGTGTATGGATGGATAGAACCGCAATGTACCTTGGTCAGAGAAAACCACATCCCGTTTACGATTCAGCAATTTGGGGTTTTCTTTGATGCATTCACCTCCGCGCTGACGGTTTGATTAGAAATGAGGAGAGTAGACTTCTGTCTGAGGTACAGGGACTGACTGGCTGTCGTCTTGGCTACTTAAGTCGTAAGCCGATTGCTTATTAGATTGGGTTGGTAGCCCGCAATCGGTGTCTTCTTAATGTATTATTCAAAGAGGCAAGATATTTGGTCCCATTACCATCAAGGCTAGCGAGGTGTGTGACAGCTCATTGGCGCGAACCATACGGTATGTGATTCGAACCCAACCCGGGCATCTCGACTGCTTCTGTCTAGGCTTGGGAGTGACAGTTGTTTCTTTGGGTGGTATGGCTGTTGGGTATCGAAAGGATGTCACAGCTGAACTACTATTATTAGTGTATTATTAGTATTACGGTGGGTGATCGGTATACTTCAGTTCCCAGCTGCGATCGAATCGGCCAGGCTGGCGGACTAGACGGTGTGCAGTGGATGCAACAGTTACACCCGTAGAATGTACCCATGCTGTTTAACCCTACTGAATTTTAAAGCGTCAAATTCTTTTCAGTAGCCATGTAGTCAATAAAAAGAGAGTTGATCATTTGGTCATCTAGAAAATAGAGCAAAGTTCAGAGTGTAGGGTGGGGAGGGATTGTAGGTAACTCTGAAAAACCTCGTGTCATCCATGGAGACGGGCAAGGAGGGTGTACCGTGAAGCACACAGCCAATTGTAGGGAGTTGTGGCAAACATGCGGAACGTCATATTGTGTTACAAGAGAGAACGTTTATAATGAACTGCTGCGTAGGTGTTCTGAAGAGGTATCAAACAACGACTGACCTGCCTGGCCTCGGACGATTCGAAACCAGACATCAACAGATACGCTTTGCTTCGCTGCTGTCCCAAGGCAACCGCATCTGAACAGTGTTCACTGATGGTGTAGTATTGTTCAGCCTGGTTGAGACAATGTGATATCATACGGAACACGGGTACAGCGCTTTCGTACGTTGTCGGACAGGTAGCCAGCATGTCCACGTAGACCTCTACTGAAGTAGGAGGGGCTGGTGACCGACTGTCTTCCGTGTTGTCGGTGTCTGCCGACAGAGTGGAGGAACCAGCCTCACTCAGATCTGACTCCACAAGTTGTCGAAGGAATGAACGGAGGCTCAGTTGAAACATCGAGCCGAAATCCTTTGCTGCAGAGAAAGACACATGTGGAACATTATCCGGAACGACTGTTCCACAAGGTATAACAATAAGACGATCGATGACAGAAACGCACATGAGGACAAAAAGCCGGACGAAAAACCGGTTCTTAAAAGGCGAGCTTTTGACAAGACTGGTGAATTCAATCTGGAGACTTTGATTAATCTTAGAATGTGAATAGACTTGCGCATTTATGCTCGTCCTTCTGTCAATGAATAGGCAGTGATCGGCTAATTTGTGGTTGGGACACACCTCATAAACGGGGGGAGTGAGGGATGAAGCCCTGATCAGCCGTTTTGCGCTCGCTGGGAACCATCAGCCTAGCGAAACAAGTACTCAAGGCGTTAAACGGTCATTCTCTTCACGGCTCAGTAAGAAAAAAACATTTATCGCAAGACAGTACGACAAAAGAATGATTTGTTCAGAAGAAGACGGACGGAAGAAGACAAGACGAAGACGGTATAAAAGCAGGAAGTTATTTCAGTTACTTAAATAAAATAAGTAGCTAACAGAAAGACTCCTCGGTGCGGTACGTACCACGGGAGGAGATACAGAATTAACGCTATCACGGCCCGCTGGAGACAAAACAAGCGTGTTTCTTGTTTCCTCACTCTTCAAGAAAATTAAATCAACTCAAAAAGTCAATTATCACGGCCCACAATTTATCCAAGGGTAAGCCCATGACCCCATTTAGTGGGACTGAGCAATGCCGTTCGGGTGGAGCGGAATAGAATTCCGAAGCAGCTTCGATCCGGCCAACTGAATATTAACGGAAACCTGGGGGATAAAAGCGGCAGAGGACTGACGCGTGCAAGGACCGTTGAGCGGAACTAGCATCGACTGTATTAGTGATTGCGCTGTTCTTACTGGACTGATTGGCCATCGGCGGACAAACGGTGATCCGACAGCGAAATGACAAAGTAAGCTTATCAGATCCGGAGTACAACAAGACTAGACTATGCTCTCCGTGACTGTGGTCTTACGGACAAAGATGAATGGCGACCAGTATCCATACATGTGCCCGGCATGAACCTTATGAGATGATAAATTGAATAAACAAATGAGAGATAAAAATGACTGGCAGAACGGGAAGGTGAGCCGAGTGTGTGGATGGATAGAACCGCAATGTACCTTGATCAGAGAAAGCCACATCCCGTTTACGATTCAGCAATTTGGGGTTTTCTTTGATGCATTCACCTCCGCGCTGGAGTAAATTCAGTCCGAACTGACCCAGGGCGCGGTAGACGTTGGCACGGGTTCTAAGATGTTGTTCGGTCAATCGTTTTTTGGGACGCCCAGATGGCCGTGAAGTGCTAACCCCTTCAGGAATCCGCACATCAACGCCGTCGATAATGCTGAGCGTAGGAAGAACAACATGATTTGAGTGCACACAAAATGCTCAACGCAAAAATCAGGAGTAAAACAGTCTGAAACTAGCTGTGTCAAGAGCAACGCGGGTAAAGTAACAACCCCTGGTTGTGGGAATCTCACTACAGGGATACATTGAAAGGTGATCCGCGCTGAAAAAGGTGAGAAGTACCGCAGAGCTGTTTATCCTTTCTGGGAATCGACAGCAGTGCGCATGTACATCACGAGTATTTACGACCACCGTGAATCAAAATTGGGTGTCAAACTATATAAACCGGCTAGTTAGGGTTGTATGCCACAGTTGAACTCACAAAAAAAGGTAACCAACAGAGGCCGCTTGTAGTATCTCGGCAATGGGAGCAAACCTCGGCGGAAACGAGGACACCTTAGAAACAGTAAAGTGCTAACAAACTGACCAATATCACACTGTGTGTTGTTTCTCATTCATGGTGGTTTGGCGCACAACTCGACAAGACTGGAACCTTTAGAACCACTAGTCATCCTAACATGGACCTTGGACACTGACCCCCTGATTCCTCTTGTTTTGTACTATTACCTCACGGTGGTTACCGTGTTTGATGGTTTTGCCCCCCGACTTGAGGAGTCTGTC